TAAGACATCACAGGCCTGCTGGTTCATCACCCGGAGATGCAACTCCAGCGACAAAATGTGGGCGGGGAAGGTGCTGGGCTTGTACCGCTATAGGTCGCCATTGAACAGGGATAAGTTTGATGTGGTGCTGGAGGTCGAATGGCATGCTCCCCTGCTGGGGAACAACAGTGATGCCGAAGTTGCAGTCGACCAGTTCATGAATGTCCCCTTGGTGGACGCCAGGGCTGCCAGTGTGTCCAACACAGGCTCTCGTTACTACCTGGCTGAGGATGTTGCGCCTTGCCGAGTGCACATCTTGCCACACCCCAGTAAGCGGGGCGCCCTGTGTGTTCTGTCAAGAAGCTACAGCTTCATGCGGGTGGCTGGCTGGGAGGCCCTGCAGCCGCAGACCCCATGGGCGAGGTCACGGTAGCAGCACATTAATATTAGCGCTGCAAGACCTCTGAATCCCTTGTGGCTTGCTCTTGAGGGGCAATCGTTAGTAACACATTGGTGGAGTGGAGGGCAAATCGTGGGGACTGGTGGGCATGGTCGCCCAGGCCCTCGAATGGTCGGACCGTGGCCTGGGCAGGGCTTCTCAATGAAGGTAAAGCTGATGGTATGGCTGATGGATAACCGAATGAATGTTGTGCACAGGGACGTATTGTGAAGTAATAGGTAATGGGAGTGGCACATTACTATGCAAATCGACAGAAATTGCTTGGGGCCCGTTCCATACGTTGACTGACTAAATCCTTCGTTGGATAGTTGATTGTTGGGGCATGTCTGCTTCGCTTGTATACTGGGGCGACTTTCTGGTGCCAGCCAGTACTAGTTTTCGAAGGGTCTTACCCCCGGGTCCAGAGCAGTAGGGGCCCTCATGGTCGGTCTTGTGGATGATTTCAGCACTATGAACTTATTTCAGAATACAGGACTGACTCTCTGTTTCCTGCTTGAACTATACATGGAAGGGGCAAACCACTGTAACTTGTGCGTGTTTCTGCTAAGTTTTCCGCACTGTTTGCATTCTCAAAGCCATTCTTTCGTAAAACCGTCATAAGAATGCTTGAGACTGGCATAAGATCATTCTCAGCAGCACCAGCATTCTCAAGCCGTTCTTAGCATTCTTAGCGTTCTCAGGAACATTCTTTAGCACGCTTCCATTATGGGCTGAGCTAGAGACCCTTCGTTTCGTCGCTGAGGAGGAAGCTGTCGTGCGCGTGTGCCGGGGAGTTGCGGGAATTGAACCCACGACCTCTCGCACCCTAAGTGAGAATCATACCACTAGACCAAACTCCCAAACTTGCCATCGTTGTACGACACAAACGTACGACAACAACGCAAGCCGTACATACACACACATGAAAACGCACGCATGAGACTCATATCTTGTCACCCTGGCGTCACCGGCCCCTGAAACTAGGGCAGAAGAATGTAAGGAACGCTATCCATGTATACAGAGGTTTTGTGTGCATGAATGATTTGTGATGCGAATAAACCCCCCACATCCATGTTGTGCAAACATCGGAGGTTACTGCTCTATCTACATTAAAATCCTACCCTGCCGCACTTGGCCCATCCAGCTACCAACTCATAGGCAGGGCATATAGCAGCATCTATCTGTATCCTTACAGATCTAGTAGATTGCAGCACGTGGCAGATGCTCGCCTGGTGGCACGACTGACCTTGCGGAAGCGTGGAGCTTAGGGGCCTTGCTGAGGCGGGAAGGAGTCCAACCCAGCGACAGGCACTAGCTTACATAGACAAGATCGAAGCAACTAAGACGGTGGCAGCAGAGTCTTGGACTCCGAACACCAAGTAGTCGTGATACTGAAGTGCCTGGCCAGAGCACCCCGCCCGGGTAGCTTATATCTTGGCCTACCTGCCGGACGAATCTCTACTACGGTCCTGTCGTACTGTACTAGGATACTGTCGATGGGGCCCGGGGCCCCAGCCTGTTAGGTGTCGCTACGAACATCCGATATGTCCGTGTCATGATATTGTGTGACATGTACATGTACGGAACTTGAGTCGAATCGTCAACGGAATTAACAGGTGTTGTTATTAATAATCGTTAAAATATTTGGAGGGAAATGTAGCGTACTACACAATAACATCGTCGGCTAGCATGCATAGCTA